CAATCTGTAGCTGTATACCTGCTCTCTGTAAAGGCGGAAGTAGATTCATTTCCAAATAAACCATTAAAATCTTAAATCTAATCTGCAGATTAATACTTTTCATGCTATTGAATTTCAGTAGTTCACAAAATTATTGGTAACTCATAGTAGTAAAATAACATAGATTTATCAATAATGAGCAAATAAATCTGTGACAATGGCACTAGGGAGTTAGGGGTGGTACTAAATGATTGAGGAAATCACATAGTGTAGTAGAGGATCCTGAGTGCCTTGGAGCACTATTCAGTCCCTGCTGGGTCAGGGAGTACAGTTTGTGTGTGGGGAGTGGAAGGAACAGGTTTTATGTTTTCAATAGGGGAGACACGGGTGATCTCAATGAGATAATGGTGTTGGTATAATGATTTAAAGGAGGTGAATGAGAAAGATAAGGGAGCTCTCTGAGGAGGTAGCATCCTGGGAGGAAGACTAACTGGTCTAGAGATGGGAGAACACATTTGGTTTGCTCATGAAAACAGCAGGAGGATCTGTGATGTGGGAGGAATCAGAGTAAGGATGGAGAAGCAGGTAGAGAGATGACAAGGATGATCATCTAGGAATCAGAGACCACAGCAAGACTTTGGCTTCTTCATGAGTGTGGTGATTCACTTTTGGGGGATTTTGAGCCAGGGGATGACAAGAACAAGCTTCCTATTTTAGAGTCCCCTGCACACTGTGTTGTCCTTAGGTGGTGAATGGGCGATACAGACTGCAATTAAGGGAGTCACACTGAAAGTCAGTTGTTGTCAACCAAGTGAGAGATGGTGGTGGTTTGGTCAGGACAGTTAGGGAGGGTGCTGGGGAAACGGGCCCAGATGCCAGACCTACTGTGAAAATGTGTGAGAGAAAGAGAAATCAGAGTTGGTGCCATGTTTTAGTCCAGCAATCATGAGACTAGAGCTGTCATTAACTGTTATAAGGAACATCAGGTATTCGTTTTAGTTAGGAGTTTGATACATCCATTATAGATTTCTGTGGGCATGTCACATAGACATGTTGGCACATGATTATGAAGTTCATGTAAAAGTTTGTCCTGCTGATGTGTACTTAGTGTGTGTCAGTGTATGCAGCGGTGTTAACACTACGAGATGATATTCTGAGGGCTTTTTTATGCCCTATATTATTTGAAAGGCAAACTTAGAGAGAGAGTGATCCTCCATCTCCTGGTTGACTCCCCAAATAGCCACAACAGCCAGGGATGGGCCAGGCCAATGTAGGAGTCAGGAGCTTCATCCAGGTGTCCCATGTAGTGGCGGGAGTCCCAGGACTTGGGCTATGTTCTGTTGGTTTCCCAGCACATTGACAGGAGCTGAATTGGAGGTGGAGCAGCCATGAATTGAACAAGGGCTCATATGGTTTGTTGGCATCTCAAGCAGCAGCTTCATTCACTGTGCCACAAGGCCAGCCCCTGTTGTGAGGGCTTTGATTGCTGAGATATCCAGGACCTGATCGCTGGTTCACCCAAACATTTAAGAAGTTGTGGTGTTGAGGATGATTACAAAAGGTTTCTATGAAAAGTAGTGAGATAGAAAAGAGGAAACCAGGAAAGAGTAGTGGGATACCTAAAAAGGGCACAACTAAAGCAATGTGCCGAAGTTAAATGGTTGGTGACTTCTTGCCAATAATAATTTTCTGACTTGAAATTATTATTATTGGACTCATGTATCTGGTGGAAAATTCATATTACACATTTTTTCCATATATCATAGCATAGTCCTATAACTTAGAATCCATGTTGAATATCCTCATTGTCCTGCTTCACAAAATACTAATGCTCTGTTTGGTTGACAAGACAGGAGCTCAGAGGGAGTAAGGTCACCTTGTGTGTGAAATGCCAACCAGCTCCTCCTAGTGCTGAAGGTGAGGAAGGCGCTGTGGCTCCTGCTACCTGCCCATCAATCTGAGTCACAGGACACTGGAGCTGTCACTGTATCTAATTATAATGCGTCATAATAACCTTACCTTATTTAGTAACTCCCGTGAGTTTCACAAATCTCAGAAGAACTTCCAGAATGTGCTCATCTAAATCCTGTCCACTGTGTCCTTTCCACTTTGTCCTCATCTCCAGTCATTCACCAGCATGAACTGTACCTTAGAAATTCTTACACCTGCTGATTTAGCACTTGTACATCTGTCAGAGTGATTTTGTGTTCACTTAATAATCACACACACACACACACACACACATTTTTAATTGTGACAATGTATTTTGCCCAAAGAATGATATTCTAAAATAAATATACTCTCTTACATAGGCATTTCCGTCAGTCAAATAATGTGGATGAAAAATGTGGATGCCTGAATCCACACTATATTAGTAGTGGTGAATGTTCAAGACGTTTTCGTTTCATTTGTGAGAAGAATAAGCCCTTCTTCAATAATTAGTACTGTTTTATGGAAAGCAGTATGGAGATTCCTCAAAGACTGAAAATGTATCTTCGACATGACTCAGCCATCCCTCCTCTAGGAATATATCCTGCAGTAACAAAGTCAACAAGGAAAACGATACCTGCACTCCCATGTTTATAGCATCCCAGTGCTTAACAGATATATGGAATAAGCATAGATGTCATTAACTGATTACTGTGTGAAGAAAATGTAATATTTATGTGTGTGTATATATATATGATGAACTATTACTGAGACATGAAAAAGAATGAAATTCTGACATTTGCAACAAAATGAATGCAACTGGAGATCATTATGCTACGTGAAATAAGGCAGGCACAGAAAGATTAATATCACATATTCTCTCATATGTGGACATTAATATAAAGAGTAAAAGCTATGTGAATATTATTTTTTAGGCAAGTTTCAAAAACTTTAATAAAGAAAAAAAGACACTTTTTTTTAACTTTTATTTAATGAATATAAATTTCTAAAGTACGGCTTATGGATTACAATGGCTTCCCCCCCATAACGTCCCTCCAACCCGCAACCCTCCCCTTATCCACTCCCTCTCCCCTTCCATTCATATCAAGATTCATTTTCGATTCTCTTTATATACAGAAGATCAGTTTAGCATACATTAAGTAAAGATTTCAACAGTTTGCTCCCACACAGAAACATAAAGTGAAAAATACTGTTTCAAAAATAAATGCCACACAAATGAAAAGTTTAAAAAAAAGAGTGAAAGATACTCAAGAAACAAAACCCTTTACTATCAAAATATACTAAATACTTAAATCTAAAGATGTTGAGTGTTCAAATTCAGGGCAAATGTAGCTTATATATATAGCCAGTGAAGCAGTATTTTTCACATTATGGCTATTTCAAGACATCACTTAATAAAGTTGCTTTTTAAGACTTTATGTTCTTAAACATCCATTTCACAATTCATTTAATTATTTTACATTCATTTTTAAAAACACATAATTTCTAGAGCCGGCGCCGTGGCTCAATAGGCTAATCCTCCACCTTGCGGCGCCGGCACACCGGGTTCTAGTCCCGGTCGGGGCGCCGGATTCTGTCCCGGTTGCCCCTCTTCCAGGCCAGCTCTCTGCTATGGCCAGGGAGTGCAGTGGAGGATGGCCCAGGTGCTTGGGCCCTGCACCCCATGGGAGACCAGGAAAAGCACCTGGATCCTGGCTCCTGCCATCGGATCAGCGCGGTGCGCGGGCTGCAGCGGCGGCCATTGGAGAGTGAACCAACTGCAAAGGAAGACCTTTCTCTCTGTCTCTCTCTCTCACTGTCCACTCTGCCTGTCAAAAAAAAAAAAAAAAAAAAAAGTTCATAAAAACACATAATTTCTAACAACAAGGTTATTTTGTGCTTTAATAAAATAGTGAACCATGATCAAATACTCAAGTGATTTAAATCCTTTGTTAACGACTACACCCATCACAGATTCCTGCACACTTACACAGCTACTACAATAATCAAGAGCTACAACTGTTCTTAAAAATGACACTCACTCAAGTTTGATAAGCATGCTAAACACTAAAGAGATGTATTTTTCTCAAGTTAAAACATTGGAGCTTTCTAGATTTTTTTAAAATCTACAATCTGCTAATTTAAAGCATTTTTAACTGGCAATTTATAAAAACAGAAGGAAGTATCTATTTAGGATTTTCTTTGTAACTTCTATAATAAAAAATGTTTTTCAAATTGTGATGGCATTAAAATTCTGCTTTAGAAATTTCAGATTTTAAAATGTTAAGAATTACACTGCCTATTACATCTAGAAGAGCATTTTTTTTAAATTAATCTAGTGATTCCTCAGGTCTACAAACACAATTTTCTTCATGGTGGGTGACACTGCCTTACACTCACTTCAAGACCTTTGCAATAATCCATTTTAGATGTGATTTAAGACAAACTCCATCTTCTAAATTCTCCTCTACAAGAGACCAAAGTATACGATCTTATAGATACACAATTTAATAAAGAGATACTAACCTAAAGCAATAAAGCTTATAATTAATGGTGATTAATGCCAAACACAATAGACTTCATAGTCACAATTTGGAAATAACTTTCATGCAAAATTTTACACAGAGCTTTAGTTCTTACTTATAAAGTAATTTTCACTTTTTTTTTTTTTTTTTGACAGGCAGAGTGGACAGTGAGAGAGAGAGACAGAGAGAAAGGTCTTCCTTTGCCATTGGTTCACCCTCCAATGGCCACCGCGGCCGGCGCACTGCGGCGGCGCACCGCGCTGATCCGATGGCAGGAGCCAGGATCCAGGTGCTTTTCCTGGTCTCCCATGGGGTGCAGGGCCCAAGCACTTGGGCCATCCTCCACTGTACTCCCTGGCCACAGCAGAGAGCTGGCCTGGAAGAGGGGCAACCGGGACAGAATCCGGCGCCCCGACCGGGACTAGAACCCGGTGTGCCAGCGCCGCTAGGCGGAGGATTAGCCTAGTGAGCCGCGGCGCCGGCCTGTAATTTTCACTTTTTTAAGTAATCAAGACAAATAGTAGAAAAAACATTTTATTTATATGGAAAAAGCTACAGTAAGATCTGTAAGAGGTGTCAATATAATATTGCCTATACAGAAAAAAATTCAAATGTGAATAGCAACAAATAAAAGTTATACATCTTCCTACTTAGCAGTGCAATTAATTCACATTGCAATAAAGTTAAGTCAAGTATACAAAATCAAAACAAGTGTTTCTCCATAATCAGTATACTCAAAATTACAGTGTAAAGATCATTTCAGGTTTAAGAAATTTGCGATCAATCTACAGAATATCCTAAGACAAGGGAGACACAGTTAATTTATTTAATTATCAGCTGTTGGGTTTTTTCAATACTATTCACAGGAAAAAAATAATGAGTTGACACACATGTAAATAGAATATATTTAGTCTATACAGTAAAAAAATACAAATTATAAAGTGAGCTAACAAAGAATGAAATCTGAATACAGATTTATAAAAGTGATGACATCTTAGACAACACATACAGTATTTCTCATGTAAAAACATCTAGTTTCAGCAAAAAATAATTTGGTTGCTTTTCAGCTGCATTGTAGATCTTGTAAGCTGAAGATGCAGATGTCCAAGTATCTTAAATACCGTAATAAATGTCTTTCTCAATGCGTACAAAATGATAAATGCTCTCATCACAGCCTTAAGGGTATTTTTGGAAGTTTGTTTTGTCTTGCTTCAGAAAACACACTTAAGATGGGTAAAAATCAAAGAGTTTCATGGTACAATGAAACAGTAAACAGTGCTCAATTTACTGCTAATGATGAAAAAAACCTAGATTTTACAGTACTCTGGTATATATGAAAAAAATTTTTTTCATTTTACATTGCATATTTCTGAGTCCATTCTCTTGCATGTGTGTTGTATTTTTCTTTGTCTGATTTATATATTTGTGCAATATCTGGTACTAAAGGGTCATGTGGGTTAGGATCACAAAGTAGAGAACATATGGACAATAAAACTTTTGATAAAGTCAGGGCTGGTGACCACTGGGACCTCAGGATATCTAGACAAATACTTCCATTACTGTTTATATTTGAATGGTAAATTTTTGTTGTGAAAGCAATCTTTGGTGGCTTAAAAGGATAATCTGTTGGAAAATGTACGGTGAGGAAGAAGACTCCACCTTGATATGCACTATCGGGAGGCCCCATAATAGTTGCTTGCCAGTGGAACAAGTCATCTCCCACAGGGCCAGCGGAACAGTGAGCCGGTGGATCACGCTGTGGATCACTTAATTCTTTCTGAATCTGCTTCAGCACCATGGGTCAGGGAGGGCAGAGAGGACACCGGCTGGCGTGGGTCGGCTGTGGTGCTGGGGGGCGTGGGTGGTCGCGGGCTCGGCTCATGGGCTGCTCGGTTGGATCTGCCCGGTGCGTCCCCGGCTCGCCGCTGGCTGGCTCGCTCCGAGAGCCCGTGGCTGCTCCGAGTGCGCCCGAGCGCGAGTGTGCCATGAATATTATTTGTACTATATACATTCATATAAGTATTTACTCCACTGGATTTTATCATATACATAACAATGCCCCTCTTTTCTTTACATTGTGATGACCAACATGAATCCCACATTATGTAATATTAATATTCCCATTTTAAAGCAAAAACAATGTATATATGTATGCGTATAATATCACCATATGAGGTGTATATTGCAAAATGTTAAAATTGTTAAATCTTAAAATAAATTTCTAAATAAATTTAAACAAAAATATATTTTATTTTGACTGACACATGGAGAGTAATTATATAGGGTTATTGGGAATAGTATGATATGTAATATGCATTTGCAATATTAATGATCCACTAAGGGTAACTAGCATGTCTATCAACTCAGACATTTATTACTTCTTTGTGTTGAGTATATTCAAAATCATCTTTACTAACTAACTTGAAATATTCATAATTGCTATAAGACATTAGAAGTTATTTCTCATAAGCAGTTGCACCTCTGTATCAATCAACATCTTTTCTCCATCACTCTCTGCTACATGCTTCTCAGGCTCTGGTAACCACTCTTCTAGTCTCTGCTTTAAGATCAATGTTTTAGCTTCCATATAAAAGTGAGGACATTTAGGGGGCCGGCACTGTGGCGCATCAGGTTAACGCCCTGGCCTGATGTGCTGGTATCCCATGTGGGTGCCGATTCTAGTTCCGGCTGCTCCTCTTCCAATCCAGCTCTCTGCTATGGCCTAGGAAAGCAGTGGAAAATGGCCCAAGTCATTGGGATCCTGCACCCATGTGAAGACCCAGAAGAAGCTCCTGGCTCCTGACTTTGGATTGGCGCAGCTCTGGTCATTGTGGCCAACTGGGGTGTGAACCATCAGACAGAAGACCTAACTCTCTTTCTCTGTCTCTCTCTGTCTCTCTCTCTCTGTAACTCTGACTTTAAAATAAATAAATATATCTTAAAAAAGTGAGAATATTTAGTACTCATCTTTCTGTATGTTGCTTACTTCACTAAAAATAATGTATTCCAATTCTATCCATGCTGCTGCAAATGACAGATTTTAATTCTATTTTATGGCTGAATAAGATTGCATTATGTCTATATACAAAGTATTTTTAAAATTAATAAATACTTAGGTTGATCCCATATCTTGATTTTTGTGAACAGTCTGAAATAAACATGCAAGTGTAGATTCTTGAATACACTGAAGTCAATTCATTTGGTTACAAAAGGATTAGTGGGATTGCTGGATCAAATAATAATTCTGTTTTCAATGGGAATTACTTTTTGGTGGTGTAACCAATCAGCGGTGGAAATATCCCTACTTGATGGATTTGTGATTCTCACTTTGGGATTTCTAAGAAACTATTTGGATCCCTGCCCCCCGCCCCACTTTTTGGCATCTCAGTTAAATAATCTTTTTCTTAATAGTTCCATATTAGTGTTTGATGGAGAATAAAGCTTCTGAGCTCTGAAGATCAGCATGGTTCACTTCACAATGCAGGTTGATAACACTCTCCAATACAACTTGCTACAGCTTGTGGGAGACCTGCCATACACAAGGATAGAGCCATCTGTCTGACACAAGAAAGAAGGAGTAGAACAAACCCCACCACCAAGGCTAGGTAATTAGCATATGCAGAACTATGACAACCAGGCCAATAGGTAACCATGTTCTCTGCTAGGAGCTTAGTAAGCACTGAAGAGCAAGCAACAACTGCTTTCTTCTACTAGTATGTAAGGTCAAGAGCCCTTAAAGAAACTTTCTCTGTGTTTCATGAATGCAAAGATTATGGGTGGTTGAGGTGTTGCATGAAAATCCTCACCAGCGTGGCAGATTCAGCATAAACTGAAGGGCCAGCGCCGTGGCGCACTAGGTTAGTTCTCCGCTTGTGGTGCCGGCATCCCATATGGGTGCTGGTTCTAGTCCCCGTTGCTCCTGTTCTAGTCCTGCTCTCTGCTATGGCCTGGGAAGGCAGTGGAGGATGGCCCAAGTGCTTGGGTCCCTGCTCCCAATGGGAGACCAAGAGAAAACACCTGACTTCTGTCTTTGGATAGGCATAGCTCTGGGATTGTGGCTATTTGGGGAATGAACCAATGGAAGGAAGACCTTTCTCTCTGTCTCTCTCTTTCACTGTCTGTAACTCTACCTGTCAAATAAATAAATAAAAAATCTTTTTTTTTTCAAGAGAATTAAATCGTTTATTGATTACACAGGATAATGGATGATACACAGCTTCATTCCCATCTGTAATTTTATCTGGTACCATTATTCAATTTAGATATATTGCAAAGGATGTGCCAACAATCATTCTTATAACCAAATAACCCCATGACTTTGCTTGGGTGGCTTTTAATGGTGAACTTCAGAAGGTCACAACAGTAACTCATGTATCTGAGAACAGCTTCTCCACCCAAGCATTTTGTAAATAAATCTCAAATGGAACCTGGCATCAGCCTGATGAATTCTGACTTTACACTTTTTGGGGAAGTTTACCAAGATGGCTTCAGAGTAGACTAACTTTACACAGCACATTTAAAAAAAAAAAGAACACATTTATTCAGCGTCATGATCAGACTATTACATTTAGCAATCAACAGCATGGGTGCAAAAGAAAAAAAAAAAGAAAAAACTACATTAAAACCCTTTGTTGGAATGCTTTACACTTTCCACAGAACAGAAACTAAAATAACCTGTTATACAATTAGTCACAAATACAGTCCTCGAGTTTTTTTGCCCATACACATGAGTATTGTCTAAAGCATGTCTTCTTTGTAGCAGCTAGGCCCTGCCACCACTGTGCTTGGCTGAGTTCACAAATCTGTTGCAACCTGTAGCTTCCCTGTCACTTCTCTGGCTCTCCTCTCCTGCTAAGCTTTGGTTCCTGGCAGTTATTAAAACCTTCTGCCACTGCCATAGCTGCTGCTGCTGCTAGAACCACCATAGCCACCTTGATTTCGTGGTTTGGCAAAATTTTGGCCGCCACCACCATAGGGGCCAGAGCTTCTGCCTCCAAAATTTCCTCCCTTCATGGGTCCAAAATTTGAAGATTGATTGTTGTAATTGCCAAAATCATTGTAGCCTCCGCTGCCTCCAAAATTGCTTCCACTACCACCGCCAAAGCCGCCTCCGCCGTTGTTATAGCTGTCATAGCTGCCACTCCTGCCATAGCCACTGCCCTGGTTTCCATAACCCTGTCCACCACTTCCATAGCCTCTGCTTCCTCCAGAGTAACCAGGGCCGCCTCCTCCATAACCACCGTCATTACCAAATCCATTGTAACCATCCCCACTGCCACCATAACCACCTCCACCGCGGCTGCCGCCGAAGCCACCACGACCACTGAAGTTTCCTCCACGACCAAAGTTGTCATTGCCACCAAAACCACCTCCACGACCACCACCAAAGTTTCCAGAACCACTTCGACCTCTCGGGGTGGACGAAGTGCTGGCCATCTCCTGCTTTGACAGGGCCTTCCTCACTTCACAGTTGTGGCCATTCACAGTGTGGTATTTCTGAATGACAATCTTATCCACGGAGTCATGGTCATCGAAGGTCACAAAAGCAAAGCCCCTCTTCTTGCCACTGCCTCGGTCAGTCATGATCTCAATCACCTCGATTTTCCCGTACTGCTCAAAGTGATCTCGGAGGTGATGCTCTTCAGTGTCTTCTTTAATGCCACCCACGAAGATCTTTTTCACAGTGAGGTGGGCACCTGGTCTTTGGGAATCTTCTCTCGACACAGCCCTCTTTGGTTCCACAACTCTTCCATCCACTTTGTGTGGCCTTGCGTTCATGGCCGCATCCACCTCCTCCACGGTGGCGTAGGTGACAAACCCAAAGCCCCTGGAGCGCTTGGTGTTCGGGTCTCTCATTACCACGCAGTCCATGAGCGTGCCCCATTGCTCAAAATGGCTCCTCAGGCTCTCATCGGTCGTCTCAAAGCTCAGCCCTCCGATGAAGAGCTTCCGCAGCTGCTCGGGCTCCTTGGGCGACTCTGACTTTGACATGACGGCGGTGGGAAGAGAGAACTCGAAGATGCTTCCTTGGCGGCGTCCGCAGGCAGAAAGGAGTAAGCCAACGAGCGTATCCCAATAAAAAATCTTTAAAAAAAAAAAAGGTAGAGCAGGCCGGCGCCGCAGCTCACTAGGCTAATCCTCCACCTGCGGCGCCGGCACCTCTGTTCTAGTCCGGGTCGGGGCGCTGGATTCTGTCCTGGTTGCTCCTCTTCCAGTCCAGCTCTCTGCTGTGGCCCAGGAAGGCAGTGGAGGATGGCCCAAATGCTTGGCCCCTGCACCCGCATGGGAAACCAGGAGGAAGCACCTGGCTCCTGCCTCGGGATCTGTGCAGTGTCAGTCAGCCTTAGCGGCCACTTGGGGGGTGAATCAATGGAAAAAGGAAGACCTTTCTCTCTGCCTCTTTCTCTTTCTCTCACTGTCTAATTCTGCCTGTCAAAAAAAAAAAAAAAAGTAGAGAATTCAACTTCTGCTTTGTCATGAGCATAGCAAAAAAATAAGCCCAAACCAAATGAACTCCTGAGTAGTTTGTCTATTTTGCCTACACTAACTGCTCCAGAGGATATGCATCCATTGTCAGATATAAATACTGTTTATCACTAGCTCCCAATTCGAAAAAAATGGAGCAGCTTTCAAGAAAATGAGATGCCTGAGGAACAAGGGAAAGAACAGTAGCAATGGTTGGTCCTGAAATAAAGTTGGTCATAGATGACATTCAGAAATTATTCTAAAATTTTGAAATTTTAAGATATCAATTTAAAAGAGCTATAATTAATGTGATAAAGAAATTAATAGGAGTAATGCATATCATGTGTGACTTGAAAATGTACAAAAAATCAATTAAAATGCTGTAAAAGAAAAACATGGCTTCGGAGTTGAGATGTCCCTTTCCATGGTGTCAATGCTGAAAGAAAAACACAGGAAACACAGAGGTAGTTCAAAATGCTACCCAAATGAAAGAACAAATAAGTAAAGCGTGAAAAAAGGAACATAGCATTCAAACACTGTGGGACACCGTCAAAATATTTAGATAAGCTTAAATTGGATCTCAGAAAGAAAAAATGATTGGGAAGGAGGAAGAGAAAAAGGAAGGAGGGAGGGAGGAAGGAAGGGAGGGAGGGAGAGATTTTTGTGAAAAGTGTTGATATCTTTTCTGATGGCTTTGTTTTTGAGAATTTGCCTCCATAGAATACTGAAACACTATAGTTTATAGTAGATATCCAGAGGTGTGTGCAGGTGGAAGCAGGGAGCTGTGGCCCACTTTTGTGAGTGGGTCAAGCACCCAGAGTACACCCAAATTGGGCAAGGTGGCTCTCTGCTATTTTTTTAAAGATTTATTTTACTTATTTGAAAGACAGAGTTACAGAGAGATGTAGAGACTGAGAGAGAGAGAGAGAGAGGTCTTCCATCCACTCCTTCACTCCCCAAATGGCCACAATGGCCAGAGCTGAGCTGATCTGAAGCCAAGAGCCAAGAGTTTCTTCTGGATCTCCCATGCAAGTGCAGGGATCCAAGGACTTGGGCCATCCTCTTTGCTTTCCCAGGAGTTCTGAGCTTATGATGTCAGACTGCGTGATTTCCAATGACACAGCCACACCCCACACTTTCCCCAGACTATGTAGATGTCACATAATCATAGAGTGCAGACTCTCTAAGTCACAGGGTGCAGAGGATCTGCTCTCCGCCTTGCAAGCCTCCACGTCCAACAGGTGAGATGCCCATCTCTAGACCATCTGCAGACAGGTGAGAAATTCTCTCAGGAGATAGAGATAGGAAACTAAACTGAAATATTAGAAATGAAGAATTCAATTGGTGCTCTGCCTTGGCAAGTAGAGTCTAGAGCTTCGGTGGCATAGGGGAGGGAAGCAACACTTCCTCACTTGCTAAGTGTAACAACCACTTAAAGAAGGTCAGTCCTCTCTCCATGTAGTGTTTTCCACTTCAGTTAAAGTGGTGTGTATTTAAAAACACCCCAGGTTACTCCCACAAGTTTGTGAAACAACTTAATTAAAAACAACATAATTAAAGACAAATATCATATGTTCTCGCTGAACTGTGGCAACTGTCTGAGCACCTAAAAGGAAACCTGTAGAAGTGAAACAGACACTATGAGAAAAACTGACTTGGTCAGCCCTTGTCCTGACTTACTATTTTATTTCTTTTAGTATTTTTTTCGTTCTACGTAATACCATTGATTGAACTCTTTAAGACACAATTATTCTTAGGTGTTTAAATTTAACTGAAAAGTGATCCCTGTTAAATATAAGAGTGGGAATAAGAGAGGGAGGAGATGTACAGTGTGGCACATGTTCATTGGGACTTACCCTGAATGGTAGAGCTAGAAACGGGACAGGGGATTCCAAATCAACCCCATGAAGGTGGCATGTACCAATGCCATCTCACTAGTCAAAGTGATCAGTTTCAGTTCATAATTGATCATAATAATAGGATTAAGAGTCAAAGGGATCACATAAACAAGACTGGTGTCTGCTAATAATAACTGATAGAATTAAAAAGGAGAGAATGATCCAACATGGGAAGCGGGATACACAGCAGAGTCATAGAATGGCAAAAGCCCTATAACACTGGCCTCAGAATCATCCCTTAAGGCATTCGGATCTGGCTAAAAAGCCCATGAGAATTTCTCAGGCATGGAAAGCCAAGACACTGTGGCAAAAAAAAAAAAAAAAAAAAAAAAAATGACCTGAATGAAACATCTCTGTGAGTGAGATCCTGGTGGAAAGTGAGGGCCATAAAAGAATGAGGAAGCAGAGAACTTCCACTTTGACTATGGCCTCGTCTAAATAAGATATGAGTTTGTGAACTCAAGAGGCTTCCATAGCCTAGGCAACTCATGACAAGAGCTCAGGGTGATTACTGACGTCATAAATAAGAGTGTCAATTTTCAAATCTATGAAGGGAGTCACTGTGCACTTACTCCCCATATAGGATCTCTGTCCTTAATGAGTTGTACTATGTGAATTAATGGTAAAACAACTACTCAAACAATACTTCATACTTTGTGTTTCTGTGTGGGTACAAACTATTGAAATCTTTACTTAGCATATACCAAGTTGATCTTCTGTATATAAAGATAATTGAAAATGAATCTTGATGAAAAATGGGATGGGAAAGGGTATGGGAGATGGGATGGTTGTGGGTGGGAGGGAGGTTATGGGAGAAAAGGCCGCTATAAGCCAAAAGTTGTACTTTCTCTTTTTAATTTTTATTTTTTTTTTTTTTTAATTTTTTGTCAGGCCAAGTTAGACAGTGAGAGAGAGAGACAGAGAGAAAGGTCTTCCGTCTGTTGGTTCAACCCCAAATGGCTGCTACGGCCAGTGCACTGCGCCAATCCGAAATCAGGAGCCAGGTGCCTCTTCCTGGTCTCCCATGCGGGTGCAGGGCCCAAGCACTTGGGCCATCCTCCACTGTCTCCTAGGCCACAGCAGAGAGCTAGGTTGTAAGAGGAGCAACTGCGACAGACCAGCACCCCAACCGGGACTAGAACAGTGGTGCCTGTGCCGTAGGCGGAGGATTAGCCTAGTGAGCCGTGGCACCGGCCTTTATTTTTTTTTAAGGTTTATTTATTTATTTGAAAGTCAGAGCTACACAGATAGAGGAGAACCAGAGAGAGAGAGAGAGAGAGAGAGAGGTCTTCCATTCACTGGTTCACTCCCCAGATGGCCGCCATGGCTGGAGCTGCGCCAATCCAAAGCTGGGAGCCAGGAGCTTCTTCTGGGTCTCCCACATGGGTGCAGGGGCCCAAGGATGTGGGCCACCTTCTACTGCTTTCTCAGGCCATAGTTGAGAGCTGGATTGGAAGTGGAGCAGCTAGGACTAGAACCGGTGCCCATATTCGATGCAGGCACTTCAGGCCAGGGCGTTAACCGCTGTGCCACAGCACTGGCCCCAAATGTTGTACCTCTGAAATTTATATTTATTAAATAAAATTTTTTTAAAAAGTGTGATTCTTTTGACAAAAATGGGTTTTTTTGTGCAAAAAGATTGTTTTCATAAGTTGTTGAAAATATGTATTATGAATAAACTATGTATTTCAATTTTTTGCTTATGTATTTAGACTTTATTTTAAAATCCTAATAAAAGGTGATATTGACTAATCCATGATATTACTATACAGCTTTTCTTTATTTCAGAGTCTACAGAAATTAAAATACATTTTCAATTTTTTTAGCGTTAAGATGTTATATTGTGAAACACATTTCTGGATTTTCTTAAATATATCTGCCAGCTATTGAGTGTACTCTCATCTATTTTGTCAACCTGATAATAAATGTCGTATATGAGATTTTAAAAATGTGTTTGCTCAACATTCTTAAATGTATGAAAATGTACAGATTAAATATTTGGCTACTCTAATTTAAAATTATTGTTCAAAATTGTTATGTTAAAGCACAAAGAAGAAATATTTCACCATCTATAATCATAAAATTCTTAAACATACTTCTAGTCATTTTTGTATACTTCTTTAATTAAATTGACAATTGTTTTTTAAGAAATATGAGGAGTCTCAAAAAAAACTAGGCATGCATTTTGGTTTTTTATTCACAGAATAAACATGGTTTCCATTTTGCAGAACTCTTTAACAGAAAATCCCAGATAAATACAAAGAAGAAAAATATTTCTAATTCAAAGAATTACATACTATTTAATAATAGTTGTGGATTGCATAATATGTTGTGTAGGGTAAATATAAATATACAGTAGATATATAGATACATACAGTAGGATATATAGACAGATAAGTAAGTAGATGAATAGAAGATAGAAACTTTTTAGAAAAATAGGGTTATGCTGTATATGCAATGATTTCATTGTAAAAATATTTTTAAAGAACTTAGAGAAAAATAAAATATGAGACATTAAACTAAAGGAATATTTCAAATTAGTGTTTTTTATATGACATTGTTTCCTAGATTTTCCTACAGAAGCTGAGATAATATTTCATAAACAATGTTGAAATATTAGAGTTTGATTATTTAAAATATTAAAAGGGCTTCAAAAAG